TATCCTAACTATATTGTATGAACCCAACCATTGGAAAAACTAATAGGAGATTAGTGAAAGTGTCTTTTTATAAAAGTATCCCAATTATTAAATGAAAAAATAATAATATAATTAGAAGATCACCATTTTGCAACCTGAAGGAATTAATGGATTTATGCATTGAGCAGCCATAGCTGCTAACATCAAAAAAGACAACCAAAAAAGAGAGAAACTGACATGTGCCTTCTGATAAAACAACACACCGTCCCTTACAGTCTTGCCAAAACTGATGACTAACTTGCATAATTTTCAAAACACAGAGATACATGTTGAACCACACCATGACTATGCAAACAACAAAGTCCAGATGTAGGACACGAGTTCAACAGGTAACTTTTAAGAAAAAGAAAGGAATGGAGGGGGGGACTTGTAGACATAAAGATAATTTAAGAGACACACTGAAGTGTTTTAAGGGGATAATATTAAGCTACAATTTTAGGGGATGCACATTTAGGTAATAAAAATTATATGGAGATACAGAAAGTGATTAAAAGTGATGACAGAGGTTACTTTGGGGGCCCTGGAAGAAGTATCGAGTACATGGTGGTATTTCTGGGTGCCTAGCAATGTTCTATTTCTTGACATGAGTGTGGTTCCAGGGGTGCTTCCTTTGTAATAGCTTATTAAAATATACATTTATTTTGCTTGATTTTCTTTAAGTATGTTTTATAATAATAATAAAAAGATTAAACAAGAAATCATCCCTAAAATGGAAAACCTTTATGTGGTTAAAAGCTAACGCAGTACATACATTTTGTTGGAACAGATGTTTCTTAAATATTTTGGCTTTTCAAGTTCAATGTACTTAATAATGCTTTCTGACTGCTTATTTTATCAAATTATACTGTATTAAAAGTTGGTCACAATTTTACTTTCCCAGAAGTTGATGTTCCTTTCAATCACTGCAAAAATGGTTTTTCATTTTTATAGGAAAAAAGTTATCTTTGTAAAGTTATATTTTCCTATCCCTGACAATAGTTTTTAAAGTTTAATAGCTCTGTTTATGTGGTTTTAATTTGCTAAATTAATCAAATTCATCTTTTCTGAGTAAGGTATCTTAAAATTAATACTATACTCAGAAAGCATTACCAAATCAACATGGCTGAAAGTTAAAATACCTGCTCAAATAAAAGGTAAAGGAAGAATAAACTGCATTATCACATTTTGACAAAGTGAATGAATTAAATAGTTCTAGGATGATGGCAGTAACTTTCCAAAAGGAAGTACAAAGAGAATGTAGAATTTAAATAAATATACTATCATGTTATATATGATATTCCATACATACACTATTAAAAACTGTTTTTAAATGAATTTACTGATAAAATTTTTCACTACCGTATATTTTTCAAAAGAAATTTTTTTCCTAGACTAACTCTGCTTTATGCTTCTAATTAAGATATGTACTGTTGTTTAGAGCTCTGTGGTGTGAAATTAGACCAGCAGTTTTCTAATATCCATAAAATAAATAAAAAAATGTTCCTTCTCTGACAGACAGATAATTCAGTCACAGAGAGCTTATTTCTATGTTTCCTTTGTTTTCTTTTTTTTTAGCTGCTTGGTAAGCCAATTTTCTACTTAGAATCTACTGTTAAAACTCTCATTTGGTTCAGTATGTGGGCTTTATCCTTTCCATGGTCTGTTATGCAAAAAAAGATGGCTTAAATTTTTTTTTTTTTTTTTTTTTTTTTTTTTACTTTGCTGCAAAGCACTGGTTCTCAACTTGGATGCACATGAGTATCACCTAGGGAACCTGTAAAAGAATACTGACATCTCCTCCCCCACTGGAGATGCTAATGTAACTGGTCTGGGTGGGCCTCTTTGTAAAAACAGCTCTGCAGGTGACTGCAATGTGTTGCCAAGGCAAGGAACCACTACTCCAGGATCTTGCCACTGTCCAAAAAAAAGCTTATTATTTTTTCTGATTGAACTTGAATGGGAAACGGTTTTTAAAAATTCTATAGTTTAAAAGATGCAAAGATTAAATTTGTTCTCTCTGAGGTTGCTACTCTTTTAGTTTGGATTTTATGGTTTAAGAGTACACTGTGTCTTTTATTCTGATGATTATTCAAGTTTATTGGTCACTAGTGAAAAAAATTTAAAGACATATGCCTGAATATTATTTTTATAGAATAGTGGTTTTAGTTCATGATATTAAAAAAAAGTGCTACAATTCATAGTTAAAGATTGTATCTTCGCATTCAAAAAAAGGAACAATTATTTCTCTAAACATTTCTTCCAGAAGACATTCACCTTTCGCATACAGAAGTTCACATGAGGTTCAGAAAAATAAAACTTTCCAAATTTTTCTACAGTTTAATTTTGAATAGAATGACTGAAAGAGCCAAATCCCACATAAAAGCTACTTGCCAAAAAAAAAAAAAAAAAATATATATATATATATATATACATATATCCTAACATATTAGGATTAAAAAAGGGGACATTTTTTAAACTATGCAATCAGTGGTGAATCATTATTTAAAAATCACGTGCAAATATCATATACAGTTTTATGCAAATCTATTCAGATACATAAAATGGATAATTTTCTAGAAATACTAACAGAAGATAACTCAAGGGAAAAAAGAATTCTTGAAAAACATACAACCCTTGAAAAGTAGAACCAGTACGAAAAATCTACCTTCCTTGAAAGACACCACACCCAGGCAGTTTTCTAGGTGAGTTTTACCAAACATTCAAGTATCAGATAATCCCTTTACTTAGAAAGGGAAAGAGCTAGCCAAATCAGTCCATAGGGCTCGTACAACCTTGATATGAAACTTAGAAAGAATAGTAAAAGAAAGTAAAAATCTCATATTTGAGCACATTGTGAAGCCTCTTTAATGTTCCCTCCTTACTATCTAAGTAAAATCAATTATTCCCAGTGGCTCCTACTACAGCTCACACATACTGTATCCACAGCACCATTCAACACTTTCGTGCACTTACACGTTTTCATATTTGTCTCTCATTGGTAGGTACGAAGATCCTTGCAGGCAGGGATAGTTTTGCATTTATATCCAGTAGCATGAAATAAAGTGCTTACTTACTCCATGGTCATGATCAGTAGTTGTTGAATGACACAGAAAGAGAAAGGGAAGGGCCTTTTAGGTAGATAAAGCAGTAATGTGTACAGGCAAGAGGTGGGAAATAATGAGGCTGTGAGTAAACCATTTGGCTAGAGCACAGGTTTGTATAAGGAAATAACATTGGAAAGGCAAGTCAGGGCCAGTCAGGGTGGGCTTTGCAGTGCTGAGGCTAATTTTAGTTTCAGCATCCAATGAGGGTATTTGAGCAGGCAGTGGCTACATCAGATGTGTGCTTCAGAATTCAAATGAGCTGTCAGGAACCTGGAGGTGACCTATATAGTTTTAAACCCATTGTTTTAAAAATTAGAAAACTGAAGTCAGAGAGACAGAAGCTGTATCCAAGGCCAAAGAACACAGAATTAGCCAAAAGCAGGCAGAAGCTCAGAGGGAATAAACTTAATTAAGGTCACACAGTTAGATTACGGTTCACCTAACAGGCACACCCAGGTCTGTCCAACTCCAAAGTCCATGATCTAGATGACACCAGGAGATGAGGTATGTAGACCATATGTACACCGTTTTAGAAGAGCCCTAATTTCATGTAACACACTCATTTCAAATAAAGGTAATTTGTATAATGTATAACTAAAGGCTGATGTAATTATTTTTACTTTTATTACGAGAGAGAACATTTAATAGAATTATAATTGGCTTTGTTACATTAAATCATTTTAATGAAGTCTTTTATTGCGTTAAAATGGGGTAAAACGGTGGGCATGAACAGAAATAGGAACAAGCATTTACTTAGCCTCACAATATCCACACCTAAAGCATTACAAGTAGTTTTAATTACTGCAACAGAATTGGAAAAGTTCCAGTAAAAGGTTATTAAATAATTATTTAATCAATCAAAAAGGGTTCTTCAGTCTTAAAAGATAGCCTCAAAGTTTATAAAACCAGAAGGGGTAGGCAGTGACAGAGAAAACTTGGACTTGTTCATTATATCTGAGAATACTAACTCTGAGAAATACTTCTTAAAGCCTAAAAGATAACAGACTTAGAGAAAATACAGGAACATAATATTTTATCCAGACAAAAACTTTTTTTAAATGGTGTGTGTGTGTGTGTGTGTGTGTGTGTGTGTGTGTGTGTGTGCGCGCGCCTTTTTCTTAAGTTATAAAAAAGTAAAACAGAATTTCATACTCAAAGTACTGGTACACACTGAAGATACCCATAGGTTCACAATAATGAATGATAGTAGAACCATTGTTGGGAGTAGACAGGGGGAGACGCTGTCCTCACTTCCTAGATTAACCCTTTTGGTGCTCCTGTCTGAGGCAGGACACTAGACTGAGAGGCCACTGCTCTACAGCCCTCCTTACAAATTCTTACCCAGCCATGGTGTGGTAGCACAGGATTGTGCACAAAATGAGCATCTATTAACTGACTGACTGAAGTTTAAAGAAGGTGACTGGTAACAACTTAGACAGACATGAAATCATGAGCAAACATAATGATAGTACTAACAATGATTAACAAGGATCGAGGAGTAAGAGTTTACTATGTGTAGGTATCACTCTAAATGCATGCATTAAGTCATTTATCTTTGTTAACTTAAATTTTCAAGTAACTAAACCACAACACATAGAGGTTAGTAACTGGCTTAAGCACAGTGTGCTAGGTAGTGGCAGAGCTAGCAACGGAAACCAGAACCCTTGCTCTAATCATTGTGCTATTCAGGCCAGCCCTGAAACTGTCTATGTATTCTCTAGACATGATACTTTTAAGGATCCTAATTCATGTTCCTTTTTGGATATTTGGAAAAATAAATTATATGTTTAAAAAACATTTGCATTTATTTCAGAATAAAAAATACTAATAATCCTATTTTATTTTATTCAGTAAAATGTATATATGTTTTAGATTTACCTCCAGTCTTCCTTGAGTATAACCCAGGAGCAGCAGATTGGCTCTGTCTTTCTCAGAAGAAATGGGGGCCCAAGGCCAAGCATCATCACTGACCAGTGGCCACCAGCAAACAACTATATCCTGAGCACAATTGATAGCTAGGTGACGCTCTGTTGTCCTGTTTACTGGCCCAGGTATTTCATAGTAGGAAATCTAATGGTTAAAAAAAAAAGCATAAAAGAATAATTTTTAATGCAAAATCCTCAAAGTATTATAAAAATTAAAGCATCTGTAAATGTAGATAAATGCAAGTAAATATGCATGTTAAACATGTGCTTAGAGAGGTGTCAGAATTTACCAAATTCTTTTGACACATATATAAAAAAAGACATATGTTCAAAATTCTCTCCACTTTTAGCAGAGAAGAGGAAAAGGAGAAATGCGAGTTAGGGAGGAATTGGCTGTAGCAATCCTAATCAATACCAAAATGTACAGTCATGGTTGCTTGACAGCATCGACCTACACCTAGGATTTAAGACCAGCTATATTAAATGACAAGTTCAGTACTACTGACCAAGAGTGTCTGACTACTGTTTAAGACATAACACGTTAACAATGACTGACAAGAATAAAAGGAAAAACAAATTGAGGCGAATATCGCTTTAACAAATATATGAGACAAGATACACATATATTCTGCATAAAAGGATAAGCCACAGTATCATGTGTAAAAGTTTATGCAGCTTCTGCAAATTATGATTCTCTTTCTTAGGAAGGATTTGTAGAATTTATTATTCAAACTATGTTATTTTGGAACATGGTTATTTGAAAACATAAGCACGGCACCATCTGGGTGACACATGCCAAGGAAATATAGATTGCACCGTATTTCTGCTTAAGGAATTAATGGAAGGTTGATAGCTTGGAAGAAAAAAAAACTATCTTGCCATTGCTGGTCAGCAATAATCGAACCACTTTCTGGGGATTAAGCGCATGGCTAAGCCTAGTGGACCAGACACTAGCAAAGGGCAGGGGGTCTTCTTATCAGAGAAATGCTTCTGGAGCCAGTCTCACTACATGACAGATTGCTTTCATATTCCTGTCTGCAAGGCAACAAAGGATGGCAGTAATGCGATAATGCCAGAGTGCAATGGGTGTTAAGAACCCGTTGCATTTATGTATTGTATTTAGTAAATAATCAGGCTCATCCAAATTGTGATCTCACCACTCAACCAAGGCCATTAAAATCAAGGTTAATGCTTTAATAATCCTCTGCTATTTTTTTTTAATATGGTCAAAAGGAACCCTTTTCTATTTGCATGGCCATAATATTATTGACCTCTTCATCCTCTGAATGCACATCAAAAGGAACTAAAATCAAAGTAATTACCAGTGTTGTTCTCTCATGGTAAACATTTAACTCCTTGCACTGTCTCTTTACCATTAAATAAATTGAATTGGATTTTTAAATTGTAGACAGGAAAACTTGTTAAAGGTCAATAATTTCAGGATATTTACCCTGCAATTTTCTTTGCCAAAATTATTTCAATCTAAAAGAACTTATGGTACCGATGTAAAGAAAAGCAGGATTATCATACTCTACACTATTTCCTTGTTTTAAAATCCAAATGGGCAATGACGGACAACACAGATATACTTCATGCTTTGAAGTACAAATTCTTATATTTAAGCTCTCAGTATCATTATTTTTACTAGTTATCTTCTTGTTTGAGAGAAATACCACAATGGAATTACTAAGTCCTTAAAAATACACAAACATTAGTTTGATGTTGTACTTGCCATGTAAACACATTACTTATAAATTTATACATGAAGAAACATTCAAGTTAAAACAAGAAACTGGCACTTTCATTTCTCACTTAATGCAAATCCTGTATGTTATCTGAAATTTCACGTTTTCTATATTTTAATGGCATCAGTATTCTATTATAATAATCAATAAGGCAAGTAAAATGAAGAAGTTTCTTAAAATATCCTTCCAATTGACAAAAGGCAGTATTTTCTAAGTATTAAATATCTATATTTAAATACTGAACCAGAAAATGAAATCCATGGATTTTTCCAAAGGGAAGTAGCTTATTTCTCTAATGTACAGAAATGACATGGAGTGCCCATGTCCTAATTTCCCAAATCCAAAGGGATAAACAAATAAGTAATTCCTTTACTTAAGGTATAAGGGTTCATATACTAGGTCTATTTTCCACATCTTTTCATAAGAAAAGATGACATCTTAACAGTTTCTCTCTGCTCTCATTAATGGGTAGCTGCTCTTCGGCTGAGAAAACTTTACTAAGCCATCCATCAAACCTAAGATGGGGAAACTAGTCATATAAAATTTTATATGACAGCATTAGAAACAAAATAGTCTGAATGCACACTGGTGCATCTCAAAGAACAGTATTAATAAATAAACATTTCAAGTAAATCTACAGTTAGCCGTTCTGGAAAATAACATTCCAGTAAGAATATTAATTATCAATTTTTTGACTAACCAAAATATAATACATGAGTACCACTGATTTCCAGCTAAAGAAAATCAATAGTATACAATGTTATAGAAGCTCAGCAAAGCAGGCAAACAAAACCAAATTGTAGTTTATTACCACAATGAAAAACTTATTTAATATATTTTATCCCATGTCAAAAATCTTTTTTATAAGAATAGATGTTTCTACTAAATAAAATGGGATCCTGCCCCATACTACTACCATCCCAATCACAATAAGAAATAATCCCAAAGGGCAAAAGCTTAGGTTAAATACTACTTTTTAAAAAAACACAAGAACAGTTTCAAGCCACAAAGCTGACTTCTAAAAATCTTTGCTCTTGCTATATATTCTAAGTACGGCATAAGTGTGCATCTTTTTTAAGGAAGCTGTATATCAGCTCTGTTCCCAGTGAACAGTGAACTGTCTCAAATCCACGTCACAGAGGCTGGATCAATCTTGCAAACACAAGTCACTGCTGAAAAGAGGCCTTGAACTGAAACAGCCTGGAAAATGTATTAGATACTCATCCTAGCAGCAAGTATGCCTTCCAAGCAGTTAAAATGTAATGTGGCAAAACTTAAATTAAACACATCATTTAAAATAAAAATCCTGCCTTAGCAGATGTAAAGTCCCTGATACATGGAAATAAATTACCTGGAGTTAGTGAAGGGAGAGATACTAACATAGGAAGGTTTCTTTTTGCATTTTCGCCAGTTATAGTTGGGGTGGGGGAGAGAGGGGCGGGGCGGAGGGCTCTTCCCACACCTTGTTTATTACACTTTTCTATTAACCTTTGAAAGTACCTTCTCCCTTCTTTCTTTTCTTGTGAAATAGAAACCAGGGCCGCTGTCCCAGCCTAGAAAGATCATATGGGATCTTCGGGGAAAATAAGAATGGTGTATTATACCACCACTAGCAAGAACACCATTTTCAAATGTGTAACTTGCCTGTATTATCTGTCTCTGACTTCCATAAGTGCTACATGAATTGCTCCAACGTGCCATTATTAGACCCTCATAATTAAAGTAAAAAAGATAACTTAGGATGGCCACTGTTTCTAGAGATTCAAGCTTAATCCTATAACTGTTTTTTCTGAAATCCAGAAATATACAAGAATAACATCATAACATAACATCAACCCATGTGACACTCTAGCACATCTTAATCAATAATATGACTATTTAAATTGAAATCTCTACCTTATAATCCAAGGCTGAGAGTTTTTCCAATCTTTTGTTTACATCAGGAGAACCCATCTTCTTGGTAAACTGAATGAAACATAGTTTGTTTTGTGCCAAAAATGATAAGACGATAAAGCTGTCTGTGAGAAGAGCTTAAAAAAAAAGATTTTGATAACACTGTTAGAATAAAATAACAATGAACTAATATTTTTCCACTGAAATACTACAAAAAGCTATTTTTAGAAGATAAGTATTAATTAAAATAACTAGTCTCCTAAATATTATGACATTTTACAGGATATTAAAGATATTGGGAATAAACAATAATCATCAATATAACCATGCATGGATTTGGTACTTTTCCTTCTTTTCTGATATCATTTCAATATACAGTGATGTTTGAGGACAACCACCAAATAAGATGCATTTGGAACTAGGGCTAGAAAAGCATAAAATGAGGATCATTTTATTCCTATATATAACGATGAAAATATTTCCTTTTGTTTATGCTTAGCCTTTAATCTTGTGTTCATATGCTATAAACCACCTGAGAATAAATTGGATTTATTGAGGGATACAGATCAGTGCTCTCCACCAATCTTATTTTTTTTAAAATTTTTCATTAATGAACCTTTTTTTGAGAGTATATAAGATAAATGAACTAAAGCATATTATTCCCAATACGTCATTACATAAATTAATGTTTAATAAGGAAGATGAGCAAAAATATTTCTACAGGTTTATTTCTAAAGGATACAAGTAGGTAGATAATTTTTATGTGTTAATAAAAGGCCATTAATGTTATATAAAATTATTGATAAAAATTGAGAAAAGTTTTATATTGTTCCTAGCATAAAGAAATTACTGAATGTTTTACAATTTTTTTTTAAAGATTTTTTATTGGGGAATTGGGGGAAGGGGAACAGACAAGTTGTTGTCCCTTTGTTCTTCAGTCTAGTTGTGGAGGACGTTGCTTCACTGCCCCAAGTTGGCACCATCATTGCGCTCTTCCTGGGCGAGGCAGATCAGTCGCCTGCTTCTGGACGGCTGCTGGCCACTCACGCTGGTTGCTGGCTACACACGGTAGCCCATGGCCACCCACTGCAGCAGGGGCTGCAGCTTACACTGTCGCCGGCGACTCACGGCAGCCCAGCTCCAGGTTGAGCTGTTGTTCAGCATCTTAGCTGTAGAGGGCAGTGTCACTGCCCTCATAGGTGGGATCCGAACCGGGGCCCTATGGCGTCCCGAGCCAGCTCTTAACCAACGTGCCACTCGGCCGGCCCTACAAATTTTCTTTACTTCTATACTCCTCACTGTACAAATAGTGACCAATGGAAGATCTACATAATTACTGGAGAATCTGGAGAACTGCCAAGAAATCACATTGTTATCATGGTCTCATGAGGATGTATTACTTGCGGCATAAATAAAAGAAACAAGTGAAAAAAGATATCTGAGAGACATGAATAGTGTTGGAAGTCTCCTTTTAATTCTTATAGAGGTGCATCAATAAGATAAAATCACTATTTTATTTGCAGTGTCAACAAAGGGGTCAATTATTAGACAGATGACAATGGAATCTCCTCCATAGGGAAGCTTCCTTGGCATCATATTTCTATAAGGAAGAAGAAATGGCACACTTACCAGCTTTACCCTCAACTTATTATTAACAGTAATGTTGCTAATTATAGCCATTCAGCAAAGTGTTTTCTTCAAAGTGATGAAATTGGGTCTGATTTATTCAGGGGTAGCTAGTGAGGGCACAGCCGAAGAAAGGTTTCTATAGTCTCACCTCTGTCCTTTCCACTAGACCATGCTTTCCTTTAATTATTTAATTTCAAATACTGACAATTTTCAATCTCTAAAGATAATGCAATCTATTTTTTAGAACTTTTATTGTGAATAAAAGTACATAATCTCAAAATTTCAGGAGTCAGCACAGTGTAGTGGAAAGTAATGGGTTCTGCAGCTAGAACCTGGGTTCAAATCCCAGCTTAGTCATTTCTGAGCTGTTCCTTAGTATTTCATTTGTGGGCATGTTCCTTATTATCTCAGCTGTAATTTCCTTATCTATAAAATGGAAATAACTACACCTTATAAAAGGTTGCTCTTTGAATTATATAAAATAGGCAGGTTGGCACAGCATAGGGCCTCTTAGGGCTCAATAAATGTCAGTACCCTATGTATTCAATAACTGGCTTAAAATATTTTTCTTACGTGCTTTGTAGCAATTATACACTATTGTGGTATCACTACATAGATTTATTTAGTATATTTGGCATTGATTTTTGATATTTAGAAATATTGACCAGTCACTATGTTGTACACCTTAAACTAATATAACATTATATGTCAACTATAATTTGAAAAAAGAAGAAATATTGACCAAACTTTCTCAAAAGTTAACATTCATAGACTTTGGTAACAAAGTTCTTCCTAAGAGGCAAAGCATAATTTTTTTTTTACTGGTGGCTGTGTTGACACATTTGGGTTATGTATTCAAAATTCATTTGAAAATGAAAAAAAAATATTTGAAATGTCTATAATGGGGGACTAGTTTTGAAAGAAAACACCAAAAACAAAACAAAACAAAAACTATTTTGAAAATACGTTCACATTTTTTTAAGGAAAGAGTGAAAAATATTCAGAATATGAGGCTAAAACTCAACAAAAACTTTCATATTAAACATTAGCCAAAACTTGTATTGGTCCCAGGGGTTGTAACTATGCTATTACAAGCAATTACTTGTGTTTGCAAGTCCCCAGTGGTAATAATTAGTCTACCTGTTGACATACTATTTCTCCTGCCCCACTGTTAATGTAGGCAATTGATTTGCACATGGAGTAATTACCATCACTGATGGTGTCTGAGATGAGCTTCCCCACCAGGCTTCTGTCAATCACCACTTTCTCCAGCTGAGGCCCAGAAAGGCTTAGGGACACCAGCACACCTGAACCAAAGAGGAGCTAAACCAGATAAAGGGGAAGGGAGGGAGGAAGATATACTGAGAATTAGAATCTTTTAGAAACCTCTATCCAAATGTATAACTTATACCGATATTTACAGGTGCATCTATACCATGAAATTATAGTTTTTCTTCAAACAATCACTGACATTCTAAGTAAAAAGATACAGGTGGTTAAATGATGCAACACAATAGGTGTATAGATTAAAGCTTGCAGAAACCTAATTTAGTCTATGTTTATTAGAAGTCTAATCTTCTAAATACTAAGAAAGCACCCATGCAGAAATAACTGCTTTGCATTGTATTCAGAAATGTAATATGTTCTATTAAAGTAGTTTGAAAGAATTACTATTTATATCAGGAATTAAAAGACGATTTCTTGAGGTTTGAATAGTCATTGCTACACATTATAGAAAAAAATGCCACCATTAAAATGTAAACAGCTAATGTTAATGATTTATTTGGAATTTAAACCCCATTTCTACAACTACAGATCCTGTCTGTCTAAAATATTAAAATACATTAAGTCAAGGCAATTAAGGTAAAATGTTAAATTTTAAAATTCATAAATAAATAACACACATCAGAAGCAATTTCTCAAGAAGATAAAAAAATGTAGTAAAATACCTAGGCTTTATCAATATCAGTACTCACCCAACCACCCAACAAAAGAATATCACTATTATGATTTTATACTGCTCTTTTCCATTTGTGGCAGCATAATTCATTCATCTCCAAATGTTTAAAACTTCTGAAAGGACTATGCATATGCGTATGCTTGTTATCTATGAGATTATGAAATACCAACATTGGAAGAAATTGTTTCACCTTCAAGGCAACAGACTCAAAGCAGATGAATCATGGAATAGCATATGGTATAAGAGGAAAAAAAATCAATTGTCAGTAAACTTATGAACATGCCAGCCAAACCCAAAGACAACTATGATTTTAAACAAAACAGGGGAATTCCCCACCTACCTAGACATCATGTCCCAGCTAGAGAGGATGATTTTGTGTCAAGACATATTTGGACATGTGTGAAAGATGAGCAGCATGAGGGACCAGGGTAATATAAAGAAAGACCGCTATTCCCCCACTGCCTAACAGATTTCAGACATGATAATCAGCAAAGAATCTGAAAGGTCCCTTTGTACTTAACTGTTAGAATCTCTATTTTAGTTACCAAAAAGCTTTCTTTTAAGTCTTGTGAACAACATGACTCAATGGACTGTTCATTTCATGTTAATGCCCCTTAATGGGGATGAAGGGTTAAGGATTTAATTATCTTTATTGGTTTTGGAGAAAGTACATTGTTTCAAGAATTTCAAATTACTTTCTCTACTGAATTATATCCAGCTCTGTAATATGAGTCTGGCAATTAAGTTCGCAAACTTGCCACCATGCGCTTACATTGAACAGCTCGGTAAGGTTTCATAACCTTGGTATATCAGTGTCTCACAGCTGTGTTTGTGTCAATGTCTGATGGTGTCTTGCTGAGTGACATTCATTATTGTTGTTGCGTATTTTTGTGGGCTGTCGCGAGAATGTCTCAGCTTGAATTAGAGCAATGAACAAACATTAAATTCCTTGTTAAACTTGGCAAGAGTGGAAGTGAAATCAGGGACATGTTAGTCCAAGTTTATGGGGATAATGCCATGAAGAAAATGGCAGTACAAATGGATTAAGCGTTTTTCTGAGGGAAGAGAATGCATCACCAATGAAGAGAGGTCAGGACAGCCAGTAATGAGCAGAACTGATGAAAACATTGCAAAAATTCATCGAACTGCATCAAAATCATCAGCTGACTGTGAGAAGTATAGAAGACCATGTAAACATCAACAGAAAAACAGGAAAATCTTAGCTGAAAATCTTGGCATGAGAAAGGTGTGTGCAAAAACAGTCCCGAAGGAGCTCACCGATGAATAAAAGCAAAGGAGAGTAAAAGTTTGCCAAGACCTTTTGGAGAGGCAAGGTGATGTTTTGGGCCATGTTATCACTGGTGATGAAACATGGGTGTACAAATACGACCCTGAAACAAAGTGCACAATGGAAGTCAGCCAATTGTCCATGACCAAAAAAGTTCCATCAGTCCAAATTAAGAGTCAAAATGATGTTGCTAACCTTTTTTATCAGAGGGATTATTCATTATGAATTTGTACCAACTGGACAGTTAACCAAGTTTACTATTTGGAAGTGCTGCAAAGGCTGTGTGAAAAAGTTAGAGGACCTGAACTTTTCACCAACAATTCATGGCTCTTGCAGCACAACAAGGCACCAGGTCACACGACACTGTCTGTGAGGAAGGTTTTAGCCAGTAAACAAATAACTGTATTGGAACACCCTCCCTACTCACCTGATCTGGCCCCCAATGACGTCTTTCTTTACTCGAAGATAAAGGAAATACTGAAAGGAAGACATTTTGATGACATTCAGGACATCAAGGGTAATATGATGACAGCTCTGATGGCCATTCCAGAAAAAGAGTTCCAAAATTGCTTTGCAGGGTGACCTAGGTGCTGGCATGGGTGCATAGCTTCCCAAGGGGAGTACTTCAAAAGTGACCATAGTGAAATTCAACAATGAGGTATGTAGCACTTTTTCAAGGATGAGTTCGCGAACTTAATTGTCAGACCTTGTATACTTTGATGGGAAACACTGATATTTCCTTTTGGGGAATTCCTCCATAAAACTGTAGCATGTAGTCTTCACTCCCTAAATTCTCCCTGCTCAGGAAGGCAATTTTAGGGTTCTCTTTCATATCTAGATTTTTCCTCCTTGTGATAATTTTTTCTTCCCTTCTGTATTTATTCAAAAAATAAATAGAAAAGGACAGATTTTAATCTACTAAAGCTTTACACCTATACTGTTAAACACCTCTTTTCTTTTACCCGGACACTACTAGCTCCTTAACCTTTTCACTGCGTTAATTGATTTCAAGTTTGTTCTCCAAAATGTGTCAATTATCCACAAAAAATAAAAAGTTGATATTTTGACTATCTCATGCATTTAACAATAACATAAAAAATATAAAAAATTCCTATTGTTATTCATTCTTGAAAAACACAAAAATATAGAAAAATGTACATCTGCTTTCCTTAACTTCCTTTGTGGAACACTGACAAGATTTTTTTATAGTTTGAGATCGTGGGGTTAAGTCGAACACCACAGTCAGCAGCATGGTCATATAGTTCGACTATATTCGAATGGTGCAGTGAAAAGGTTACTGGCTAGGCCACTTTTATCTTTGTATCTCATTGCCTAGAACAATGCTAGGCACATAGTAGGTGCTAACTCAATGTTTAGTGGAAGAGTAACCAACTCATCATAGGATCAGATAATTCATAGTTAGAAGGAAACGTGGTCTAATCTCCCACTTCTGCATGGCATGGAAGTTCCTTCTGCAGCATCCCTTCAACCATCCTTCAAATGGCAAATCCAGCCCATGCTTGAATACTGCCAGTGACCAGGAGCTCATTACCTTAGAGAAAAGCTACCATTGGACCGTTCTAATCAATTTAAAGAGCATTCATTCATTTTTCATTCAACAAAAACTGAATGTTGACCATACGTCAAGCACTAAACTCATCTAGTGGCTCAACAGTGAATCAAACATAATCCTTAAAATAAATTAAATATACGTTAAGAGAGGGAGGTAGAAATACAAATAAATAATATAATAAAGTGCCGTTACTGGTCCTATTGTCATAGGAGTATATACTGGGTAGAATGGGAATGGAGAAGGAGGTGGTGACACTTAAGGTGAAAGCTAACACTGCATTCTTAAAACTTCTACAGTAGCTCCAGTCTTTCTACAATAGCACTTATTTAGTTTTTTAAAAAGATTTTATTGGGGAAATGGGAAAGGGGAACAGTGTTGGGGAATTGGGAACGGGGAACAGCCAAGCTGTTGTCCTTCAATCTTAGTTGTGGAGGGCGCAACTAGCTCAGCTTCAAGTCCAGTCGCTATCTGGCTGCCCGTCAGCAGCTCGCAGCCGCTCAGCTCAAGGTGCCGTGTTCAATCTTAGTTGCGGGTGGGCGTATCCCACCATCACATGCGGGAGTCAAACCGGCAACCTTGTTGTTAGGAGCATGTGCTCTCACCAGCTGAGCCATCCTGCCACCTGTTGGCAGCTCAGCGGCAGCTCAGCTTGGGCGCAGCTCATTGGCCCATGTGGTAATTGAACCGGCGACCCTGTTGCTCAGAGCTTGTGCTCTTAACCAACTGAGCCACTTGGCCGGCCCAGCACTTATTTTTTTTAATATTAAAACATAACACAGTGGTTAAAAGCATGGATTCTGAAATCACAATGAAATCAGCAGCACTGGCTCTACCTCTTATTAGCTCTGTAAACTTGAAGGAGAGTTAGTTAACCTCGCTGTAACTTCATTTCTCATCTGAAAAGCAGTAGGATAGTATCTACATCATAGGGTGAGGATTCAATAACATTTTACAAAGAGTGTTTAGAATAATGCCTGGCACATAGTAAATGTTGCAATTACTATTATTATTATTTATTATAATTATTCAACCACTACTGATATAATGTGTTCTCACTATATTATTGCCATCTCTCGAACACATTCTTTTGTCTTTTTAAAAATCTTGTGCCCAGATTGGACTCCATATTAGATGTGGAACACTAGACTCCAGGTGGGTTATAACCAATACAATCTTTTGTCACCTTTCACATTTGCTATGATTTTACAAGGATATTGTCTCCAAGATATTTGAAAGTTCCTTCAAAACTTTGAAATTTGTCTCTAACTTCTTATTCCTTATTTTCTGCTTTTGCCACCATTAAGGAACCCTCCTCTCCTAACAGAAATTGCTTTTTCTATGTATGAGCATTTATGTTATAAAATTAATTACAAAAGATCACTTTTGTTGGGTGGGGATGGAAAGTACATCCAGTAAGAGTAGGTAAAAGAGGGAACTTAAACTGGAAAGGATTCGAAAGGTAAGTGTCCAGGTGCACTAGGAAAATGTGCATACATCAACAG